GCGAGCTGAGCAAGGGCATCGCGGGAAAGCCAGACAGAGCGGGCAAGGGCAGCAGCGGCAGTGGACTCGCGCTCAGCGGGCGTGGGATCAGCGGGCAGCACAGCAGGGGGGTCAGGGCAGGGGAGCATACCGTCTAGGTGTGCAGAAAGCGGGTGGCCGTCCTGCCGCTGCCAGTGAGGTGGCGGCGAAGGTCAGCCAACCACGCCTCGAACTCCAGAGGCTGACCCTCAACATCAAAACGAAGCTCAGCAGCCATGAGGGGCAGTGGAGGACAGTGCAGTGCGGTGCAGTGCGATGCAGTGCGGTGCAGTGCGGTCCAGTGCGGTGCAGTGCGATGCAGTGCGGTGCAGTGCGGTCCAGTGCGGTGCAGTGCGATGCAGTGCGGTGCAGTGCGGTCCAGTGCGGTGCAGTGCGGTCAGTGCTATCCAGTGAGGTGCAATGCGATGCAAGGCGGGGCAGGAAAGTGCAGGAGGGTGCAAAGTGGTGCGGGGAACGGGGGACAGTACCAGGAAGTATGGAGGGCCGGGGCAGGTGCGTCGGGGCCGGGCAGGCACGACAAGGCCGGGCGGCGGCGACGGGGCCGGGCGGCGGCGACGGGGCCGGGCGGCAGCGACAAGGCCGGGCGGCTGCGACGTGGCCGGGCGGCTGCGACGGGGCCGGGCGGCTGCGACGGGGCCGGGCGGCAGGGACGAGGCCGGGCCGGACACAGCAGGGCCGGGCAGGGGCGACGGGGCCGGGCGGTTGCGACGTGGCCGGGCGGCTGCGACGTGGCCGGGCGGCTGCGACGGGGCCGGGCGGCTGCGACGGGGCCGGGCGGCGGCGACGGGGCCGGGCGGCAGGGACGGGGCCCGGGCAGGCCACAGCAGGGCCGGGCAGGGGCGACGGGGCCGGGCGGGCGAGCAGGGGCCGGGCAGGTGCGACAGGGGCCGGGCGGGCGCCACGCGGCCGATAGGCCGCGACGGGGCCGAGCAGGGGCGACGTGGCCGAGCAGGGGCGACGGGGCCGAGCAGGGGCGACGGGGATGGGTAGGGGCGCGACGGGGCCTGGAGGGCGTTACCAAGCCCAGGTAGGGGCGCGACGGGGCCTGGGGGGAGCGCAATGGGGCCCAGGAGGGGCGCTACGGGGCCTGGGAGGAGCGCGACTGGGCTAGGGAGGGGCGCGACGGGGCCTGGAAGGAGCGCAATGGGGCCCAGGAGGGGCGCTACGGGGCCTGGGAGGAGCGCGACAGGGCCCTGGAGGGGCGCTACCAGGCCCTGGAAGGGGCGCGACGGGGCCTGGAGGGGCGCTACGAAGCCCTGAAAGGGGCGCGACGGGGCCTGGAGGGGCGCTACGAAGCCCTGGAAGGGGCGCGACGGGGCCTGGGAGGAGCGCAATGGGGCCCAGGAGGGGCGCTACGAGGCCTGGGAGGAGCGCGACGGGGCCCAGAAAGGGGCGCAACGGGGCCCAGGAAGGGGCGCGACGGGGCTAGGGAGGGTCGCGACGGGGCTAGGAGCACGACGGGGCCCAGCTAGGGGGCGAGCGGAAGCGTGAGGGGGGGGGGGGGGGGGGGGGGGGGGGGGGGGGGGGGGGGATCCTACCTACGCGTGATACCATATCAAACAGTGAAAATTAATGAATAGAGAGAGAGAGTACACAAACATATACCTAACTGTTGTACTCTCTAGAAGATGACCCTATACAGTCTATACAAGCATGATAACTAAACATGTTTGACAATAGGAACTCCAGAGCTAGTCTAACCATGAGATGGGAAGGTTCGGGAAGGAGATCGAAGGGTCTCGAAGTGACGAAGCGAGGCCCGGAGAACTCCCGAAGATCGAACTAGGTATGGAGAAGCCGAGGCGGTTATGTCAGAAAGGTCTGGAACCGTCCCGAGGCTTCGGGTGTGTTCGAGCGTACGCGATAGCAGTACCGCTGGGTAAGGAATAGAAAATTCCTTACAGTGGCCCTTGGCTTAGCCTTCGCAGAGCAAGACTTTGCTGCCTTGAATGAAATCCAGTTGAGCACTTAAGGTATATGTGATGTGATGTATGTGAAGCCTACTGTATGTGGTGTATAAATTCTGAGGAAACAGTATCAAACTCCGACGTTGCGTTACCCGCTGAGCTGTCACGAAATATTTCGAAATCCCCAATGTTCCTAGCAGTAGGGGCTAATGTGCTGATGCTCGAGTATCTGTACCTCCCCTTCCCTTCAGCTCCGCTGTACTTCCCAGTTGACGAAACTGCGAATGCCGCGTTACAGAACCACCATTACGTAGCCGTTTCTTTCCGCGTTGCGCTCGACTATTTAGTTTAGGTCTACCTCTCCATCTTCCCGCTTCGGCGTGGCTGCGCGCCGTCGAAGCCAGCCATGGCTGCTAACGACTCAAGGGACTCTACCAACGCCGAAGCCATGGCTGCCGCGGAAACCGCGATCTGCGATCACTGGTACAGTTTCTCGAGTCGGTAAACGAGGCTGCGTACACTCGTCGCCGGTCCATCCCACGCTGTCGTTATTCGTCCGTGTCGTCCGTTGCAATCTCGTGCTTGTTGGTACTGTTTACAGCGGATTTCCAGGCGCCTCATCCCTGTGCTCTTCCCTTTCCCCCCTTCCCCTCCCCCCTCCCCCCTCCCCCCCCCCTTCTCTCCCCCCCCCCTCCTCTCCCCCCCGCCACAGCGCTCGGCCCATCCCCGTGGCCAACCTGCCGTTGCACATGGCGCACTGCGAGACTCGGCTCGTGCGGTGCGACGGCTGCGATGAGATGGTGGCGACTGCAGCCATGGACCAGCACGTGGCAGCCGTGCACGCCCCTGTGAGTTCTGGCAGTAGATGCAGTAGGTGCACTCGATGCAGTAGATGCACTCGATGCAGTAGATGCACTCGATGCAGTAGGTGCACTCGATGCAGTAGATGCACTCGATGCAGTAGGTGCACTCGATGCAGTAGATGCACTCGATGCAGTAGATGCACTCGATGCAGTAGATGCACTCGATGCAGTAGATGCACTCGATGCAGTAGATGCACTCGATGCAGTAGATGCACTCGATGCAGTAGATGCACTCGATGCAGTAGATGCACTGGGTGCGCTTAGCCCTTACTGTGCCTGCCAAGATGAGATGGTGGCGACTGCAGCCATGGACTAGCGCGTGGCGGCGGTGCACGGCACAGTGAGTGCTGGCACTTAGCCATAGATGCTCTTGGGTCATGTCACTCACACACGTGGCAACCAACACGTGGCACGTACGTGGCAACTGTGCATGCTGCTGTGAGTGAGTGCTGCGACTTAGCTAGATGCTCCAGCGAGTGCCAACACATCAGCTTAACGGACTTACGTATAACGTTTCGTAACGCACGTGAAACATTCTCACGTATGTCTACCTCTTTCCTCCTCATCTCCCCTCTCCTCTCATCTCCTCTTCACCTCCCTTTTCACCCCCATCATCCCACCTCCCTTCACCCATCCCTTCTCACCTCCCTTCTCACCTCCCTTCTCACCTCCCTTCTCACCTCCCTGTTCTCTCCGTGGCGAGGTCATGGAGCAGCGCCTCCTGCCAGCACACGAAACATCACCTTGCTCCTTTCCCTCTCCTCCCCTCTCCTCCCCTCTCCTCCCTTGTCTCAGGCCCTCTGTTCGCTCTGTGGCGAGGTCATGGAGCACCATCTACTGCCAGCACACGAAACATCACTTTGCTTCTTTCTCTCTCCTCCGCTCTCCCCCCCTCTCCTCCCCTCCCCGCTCCTTTCTTGTCTCAGGCCCCCTGTTCGCTCTGTGGCGAGGTCATGGAGCACCGCCTCCTGCCAGCACACGAGGCATCATCCTGCGCCCTGCGACCGCTCATCTGCCCCTTCTGCGACCTCCCTGTCACCGCCATGGACTTCACTCCCCATACCGTAAGCCCTAAGCATGGTTTTGCTGTTTACACAGCTAATAAGTAGGGATGACTCTAAGTAGGGATGACTCTAGGAGGGATGACTTTAAGTAGGGATGGCTCCCCCCCCCCCCTGTCAGCTCTCTGCCCCTTCTGCGACCTCCCTGTCACCACCATGGACTTTACTCCCTGCATGGTTATGTTATGTGTTCTGCTAATATGGACGACTCTAAGTAGGGATGACTCCCCCCAACTGTCAGCTCTCTGCCCCTTCTGCGACCTCCCTGTCCCCACCATAGACTTCACTCCCCATACGGTAAGCCCTAAGCCTCTCTGCATGGCCATTCATTCTGAGCCAGCTTAACGATAGGCCTCACTTTTGCCCCTGCTGTGACCTCCCTGTCACGGCCGTCGGCTCCTTCCCCACGCCATAAGCCCGGTGCAACCTGTGTTATCAAGGCGGTTGTAAACCAGTCCTCATGCCTCGAACTGTAAGCCACCGCCTGCATTGTTTCACGCTTAAATCCACTGGAATCGTCCACCAGGCAATAATGTGTACTCTCTCCTTCCTTCCTTCCTTTCTCACACGCCTGCAGGACGTGTGTGGCAGCCGCACGGATAAGTGCGACATCTGCAGCAAGTACGTGCTAAAGAGAGACCAGCCAGAGCACCACAAGGAGCACCAACAACCACTTGACTCGGCCTCGACCGGGGCCAGCACATCTGGTCCCACTAGCCTAAATCAGCCACGTGATGCTAGTGGGCATTCTGGGGGTATAGGAGGGTACTGGCATCTGCTCGTGCCTGTAGGGGTTGTGGTGGTGGGCGTAGCGTTGGCTCTCGGTGTGCAGAAGAGAAACAAGCGATAGGATTACTGTACCCACGTATTCCTGAATAGGTATGTACTGGTATGTCTATGAGCATGAGTTCTAGGTAGAAAGAGAGGTGTCGTAGGAGGGAAGTTGGAAAAACGAGTGACAACTTGTAAGCAGCCAAGGAGTAAAAAGAAGCCCCAACAGAAAACATAATGTATTTGAATTGAAGATTTTTAACTGAACGCCTTGCGGTGTGCACCCAACAGAAAGCACGTGTCCCCGTTTCAGAACCACCACTACAGCAATGCTGTGTGCCCCTTCCCTTCCATTCTGAAACGAGGCTCTCTCGTCTCGGACGGACCACCCGCCCACCCATAACCATATCCCTGGCCGACTTTCCCCTTCGTAGTTTCAAAGCCGCGAGCGAGTCTCTCTGGTTTCGCGAGTGCATGTGAGCCAACGGGACAACGACTCACCGCCATGGAGGCGGTTTTGCGGCACTCGCTTGTCCCCGCGCAGCAGGCGTGCTGCGGTCCAGCGTGGCGACCACTGTCTGTGCTTCGGGGCGGCGCCGCTAACAGCTGCGACAGGGAATTCGCGAAACCTTCGTCCGGTTTGAGTTCGGCTCACAGCTTTTCGCAAAGTCTGCGAAAAACTGCAGCTGCATTGACGAGGAAACGAGAAAACAGTCGTTGGAACCGCAGCGGCTCGGACAGACGGGCTCTCCAAAAAACGACTGTACTGGCGAGTAATAACGGGGATAATAATAGCGGAGATGCAAGCTATAGCAGCAACAATGGCGGTAGCGATGGCAGGAGCGACGGCAGCAGCGCAAGCAGCGGCAAGCAAACGCTTCCCCCCTCCTCCGGACATCCCACCTCCCCCCCATCGCTTGAAAGCGCATCATTTGGAAGCACCCCGGAAGCTTCATTTCTAGGGCCTATCCGAGAAATGCTGCGGAGGAACAAGGCGAAGACGGCCCAGTGAGTCGCGCCCGGTGAGAAGATTCGCGGAAGCTTGGTTGTTTCCTTTCCAGGAACGGGAGTTCTGTTTTCCCCCAGACAGGTCGCTCGTCTGGTAAGAAGAAGAAGAAGATACGGAGAATTGCACCCTGAGAACTACTCAGGTCACCCTGAGTAGCTACATTGCAGTCTCTATTTTCATCCATATATCGATTGACTTCCCTCTGGCCGTTCCTCAGGTTGTTTTGAGGCGCCTCAAAAACCGCGTGATAGAAGTCTAGTTTTGAGGCGCCTCAAAAACTGCGTGATAGAAGTCTAGTTTTGAGGCGCCTCAAGAATATTTTCATCCATATATCGATTGACGTCCCTCTGGCCGTTCCTCAGGGTGTTGGGAAAGCTGCAGTCGTTTGGCATGGCTGGCGTGCTCTCTTATGGCCTCTTCAACACCGTCTACTACATCTTCGCCTTCCTCTTCGTCTTGTGAGTCTTGAGGGGTCTCAGAAGTAGACTACTATCACCTGTCGTGCTCATTTGAGACGGCTCAAGACTAGATTATTATCACCTGGCGTGCTCTCCTACAGCATCTTCAACTCCTCCTGCTACATCTTCGCCTTCCTCTTCGTCTTGTAAGTCGGACATATGATCTTACATCCTTTGACGTCTCGCCCTCTGCCCATTCTCCGCTCCACCCCACCTCTGCACTCCCCCCATCTTCACTGGCAAACATCTAGCTCGCCCCTCTCCCCATCGCCACTGCGACCCCCCACGCGTCTTTCTCTGCTTTTGAGTCGACTCAAAAGTCATCTCGTTTCGAGTCAACTCAAAAGCTTCCTCTCGCACCCCCTCCCACCTCCCTTTTTGAGTCGACTCAAAAGCGACTCAAATGCAACTCAAAAGCGGCTCTAACATCGACTCATTAAAAGCTTCCTCTCGCACCCCCTCCCACCTCCCTCGCCACCAGCAATCATCTAGATCACCCCGTCCCCCACCCCCCACCGCGCCCCCCTCTCTATCTCTGCATGTGTGCATGTGCATGTGAGTGCATGTGCGGGCATGTGAGTGCATGTGAGTGCATGTGTGTGCATGTGAGTGCATGTGAGTGCATGTGAGTGCATGTGAGTGCATGTGCGGGCATGTGAGTGCATGTGAGTGCATGTGAGTGCATGTGAGTGCATGTGCGGGCATGTGAGTGCATGTGAGTGCATGTGCGGGCATGTGAGTGCATGTCTGTGCATGTGAGTGCATGTGTGTGCATGTGAGTGCATGTGAGTGCACGTGAGTGCATGTGAGTGCATGTGTGCGCATGTGAGTGCATGTGAGTGCATGTGTGTGCATGTGAGTGCATGTGAGTGCATGTGAGTGCATGTGTGTGCATGTGTGTGCATGTGAGTGCATGTGTGTGCATGTTTGTGCATGTGTGTGCATGCCAGTGCACATGAGTGGATGCGTGTCCACGTGTGTCAATGTGAGTGCATGCGAGTGCATGTGCGTGGATGTGTGTGCATGTGTGCGCATGTGAGTGCATGTGAGTGCATGTGTGTGTGTGTGTGTGCGTGCCCGTGTGCAGCCTGTATGTATCCCCCTCGCCGCGTGGCCTTGGCTTTGCAGCAGCAGCTAAGAAGTGAGTGGCTTGACTGGCAGGCATGGCATGGGTGGGGGAAGAAGGGGGAGGGGGGAGAGGGGGAGGGTGGGGGGAGGCGGACTTGAAGGTTGGGGGGAGTTGGCGCTAGGGGTGGAGGAAAGGGGGTGCATGCGCGGGAGTGTGCGAGGGAGTGTGTGAGGGAGTGGGAGGGAAAGTCTGTGAAGAGGTCTTTCTCAAGAGAGCCAGCAACCCAACACAGGGTAGTGTTTGGGGTACTGTGTGGAAGTGGGGATGAGGTTGCGAGAGAGAGGCAGCGTTTGTAATTTTCTCCACTCTCCAATCACCACCTTCTTCCAGCTTTTTTTCCTTTCCCCATCAACCCCCACCCAGCCCCAATCGTCCCCCCCTTTCCTCCCTGCCTCTTTCCCTTCCCCTTCCCCCACAGCTTTCTCAAGGTCTTTGCCATGGTGTGGGCTGGCAGTCAGGTCACCAAGCTAGTCCGAGCTGGGGGGTAAGTCGAGTTGCGGTCGCATGTGCTAATAATCTTCTTACTGCCAATCCTTACTCTACTGTGCTAATCCTCTGAAAGGCGTTACTGACGACGGGCTTGTGCTGGAATGTTGTGGTGACAATGGGGGGGGGGGGCCTTCTGGCGAAGCTGCTGTTTAGGGTTACAAGTCCTCATCGATGCTGACCTGTTAACATCTCCACTGCCGAAAGCTTCGTGTCAGAGCGTGACACACACGCAGAGTACCGTAACCGACGTCTTTCTCTCCCCTCCCTCCCACCTGGTTTTTTGTCCCTTATACTTCTTGCAGAGCAAAATGATGGCTCCGTGTTTGGAAAAGGCCCTCAACATGCTTTCATCATGCTCCGGACGATTTTTTAGGCACCTCAATAATCCGGTTTTTGTCCTTTTACTCCTTGCTTGCAGAGCGCTGATGATGGCTCCGTTTATGGAAAAGGCCCTCAACATGCTTTCATCGTCCACCGGAGTTTTCAAGACCCGAGGGCAAGCGGTGGCAGCCATAGTGGCATTTTGTTTCAGCCTGGCTGGGGTGCTCTTCCTTGCGGTCACTGCCCTGTGGGCATGAGCATTCTTTGCACACCCGTTTACAGCAGTACAGTGGCTCTGCTGTGCTCTCTCTCTCTCTCTCTCTCTCTCTCTCTCTCTCTCTCTCTCTCTCTCACACACACACACACACGCACGCACGCACGCACGCACGCACGCACGCACGCACGCACGCACGCACGCACCACACACGCACGCACGCACACACACACACACACACACACACACCAGTGTTCAAGCTCAGAGGCCAAGCAGCAGGGTGGCGTTCTGCTTTGGCCTGTCTGGGGTGCTATTCGTTGTAGTCCCTGCCGCACTGGTCAGGAACCATGACCATTCCTTGCTCACCTCTAAATATGGCCCTGCCTTGTGCTGAATATACTTCCATATTCGCTTAGTCGATCTTCCTGTTGGGGTTATGGTAGCCTTCTGCTTCAGCTGGCTAGCTAGGGTGCTCCAAACCTGCAGCCATGTGGGCTTAGAGCTCCAATATACGCTCCATTCTTTTGTTTGAGCAACATAACATGTAAATTATCTATCTATCGGTATTTACAATTTTACAGCTGTTTTGGGCATGGGTGACACACAGGCTGTTCAGTCAAACAGCAGACTGTTTGTACATGGAGGTATCTAGGACCTGCTTTCCACACATGGCACACACACCTGCGCGTGGGTGAGGAGGGAGCACCGCAAACAGGGAGCACCGAAAGAGGGTAAGGTGAGACTGCAATTGAAGTGAGACTGTTATTGAAGTGAGACTGCAATTGAAGTGAGAAATGTAAGGAGAGAAGAGGTATTGAACATACACCGCTTTATTCCCCCTCTCTTCAGGCACATTGAAGGAAGTGGCATTCACCTTTTTTATAAGAACACAGGTGGCAGTATTTTCCCTCCTGGTGTAGCTGCTGCTTGCATATGATGCATTTGAACGATGCAGACGACGAATAAGGGGTGTACCTGCTTGTAAAAAAGGGCCCAGGTGTGAACAGGGTGGAGGGGAAAGGATGGAGAGGGGGAGAGGGGGAGAGAGAGAGAGAGTGGCGAGGAACGTACGAGCAGAAGGGGAACACCACCCAGTACTCCTGTGTGAGGAGTCTATTATGGGGGCGCCTCAAGAAGTACAGAAGGAAAACACTAAGTCCTTTTGCTAGAACACCAAAAGCAAGCTGGCAGTGCAGTTTCTCAAGCTGGCAGTGCAGCTTCTCAAGCTTCCTCACCAGAAGGCGGCACTTGATCCGACTAAGAAAGACGGGGCAGGATAGTCCCTTTTCTTCTTCAACAGCACCTTATTCTCGTTGATCTTCCTCCATATTCAGTGAATTGAAGTGTACTTTCAGAGTGCAACGAAGTGTAGTTTCTCACTATAATGCAGCATACCTTTTCTTCTTCGACAGCATGTTCTCGTTGATCTTCCTCCATACTCAGTGAATTAAAGTGTAGTTTCAGAGTGCAACGAAGTGTAGCTTCTCACTATAACGCAGCATACCTTTTCTTCTTGGACAGCAGCTTGTTCTCGTTGATCTTCCTCCCTCCGCTCTCTGTGGTGTTGGATGCACCTTCCTTCCACTTGTCCGGCACTATCACCTTAGATAGCTTCTTCTGGCCTGCAGAAATGGGGAAAGCTTAGAAGGGATTAGTACTTAGAAGGGATTAGTAATCAGAAGGGATTAGTAATAAGAAGGGATTAGTAATTAGAAGGGATTAGTAATAAGAAGGGATTAGTAATTAGAAGGGATTAGTAATTAGAAGGGATTAGTAATTAGAAGCCACAACCGCCTTCCACTCCAGCATTACCACCTCTCCCTTCTTCTCACCTGCCAGGACAGGGAGGAAAATCTTAAATCGGAATTCAATCTGCACCCTCCTTCCACTAGTCCGGTGCAATCACCTTGAATAGCTTCTTTGCACCCTGCCGGGATTGGGAGGAATAGCTGACGTGGAGCACGCAACGTTGCCTTCACGTGTCCGGCACTAGGTGACTTTTGAGTCGACTCAAAAGTCATGACGTGGAATCAGACTCTGCTTTCACGTGTCCGGCACTACCTCCTCACCTGCTAGAAATCAGAGTTGTTGGGATAGCAGGCTTGAAGCTAACAGAAGATGAGAGGACGGTTACTACGTAGAATTGCTGTACACGGGGCTTTTGAGTCGCCTCAAAATACAACTGGACGGTTACTACGTAGAATTGCTGTACACGGGGCCGGACCTCCAGATGTCGTAGCTTACATTTGTCGCACACCATGCTGCTTCCCCTGGAATAAGCTTCCCCGGAATACGCTTCCCTGGAAAAAGCTTTCGTGGAGCACGCAACCACGGAGAAGGAAATCAGGTTGAACGGTTTCCCGCTCGCTAGAAGAAGTTCGCGCTGTAGTACCACCTTGTTATCAGTGCTGCGTCTTCTCAGCTAAACGGTGGACGAACGAAGCGTGCAGTCCCTCTGGACACCTACAGTAGTACGTCGCGAAAGGAGTTAAAAATCCGGCCTGTAGGAAAACCGAGCACCAGACGAGAGTAGGACTGTGCGCAAAAAAGCAGTACCTAACACTAAAGTACCGGTAAATTTTGACGACTGCGTGTGGGGGTAAAGCGGCTAACAGATGACTGACGCAGCGTCACTTTCGGCGGGACTAACTCAGCTTGAACAGCAACTGGACTGACTATGCCTTAGGGGGTGTCCGAAGCAAAGAATTTGTGACGTCCCAAGACGGTTGGATAGAGTTATCTCTCGGTTCCGCGATGCCTATAACCTTACGCCGTACTTCGGATGCCCTAAAGAATCCTTTCTCCGCTACAAGCCCGTACTGCTACAAAAGTTTTCACTTTGTTGTGGATGGAAATGTGTTATCTCGTACAAAGACAGAACAACCCTTCGTACTGGGTATAAAAGTGCTGAACAATAAATCTAATAAACAACTAGATTGTGCACTTTACTTATGCACGGTATAAGTTATGCCTTCTAAATTTCACCGCAGCATCCCTAGATTTCACTTCGATGCCCCTCACAACAACACAACGATGGCGGAGATAGCGACCGCCACAGAAGGAACCAGCTGTCGTAAGCTCAGCGCAGAGACACCCGGCGCACCGCTCTTTGGGGGCGGAGGGGAGGGAGCAACTGGCGGAGGGGGGGAAGGCTGGACCGGCGGCGGGTCGGGCGACGAGCTCGGAGCTGACGCGGGCGCGGGGGTAGCGGACTCCAATTCCGCGAGTAACCGCCCGCTGCTGTCCGTCGCGGCGACAATAGAGAGATCACCGGCGGCGAGCGAGAGCGCTTCGTCGAGGAAAGGCGGCACGAGCAGCGCGTTGATGGTGTGAACCACGACCGTGCCCGCCGTGCCGCTCCCGCCGACCTCCAAGCCGCTTCTTTGCGCAAATTCCGCGTCCGCGCCTTCCCCCGACAGGGGCCCTTCGCCGAGGAGATCCAGAGAGAGCGTGAGCGCGCGGTACTGCTTCACGGTGGTTCCGCCCACCTGGAACGCGAGCGAGTCCACGTGGAGCGCGATCGGCGCGCCCTGCAGCGTCGCTTGCGCGCCCTCCCAGGCGAACGCGGAGACCGGCCGCGCGACCACGTGGAACAGCAGCACGTCGCGGAGCAGCGCGCCGTTGCGCGGAAGCTTGAGGAACGCGAGGAGCGCGGGGTCCGCGCGCATGAGCGCGTCGTTGGTCGGCGCGAACACGGTCATGGTGGAGCCGGTCCGCGCGCGCAGCTCGAGCTCCGGCATCAGCCCGGCGTGCCTGAGCAGGCTCGCGAAGCCCGTCAGTCCCGCCGACGAAAGCTCCTTTTCTAAGGGCGAGGCCATGCCAGAAGCGAACGCTTCCGATAAATCGGTCGTGGATTCGGCGGATGCGCAGATGGCTGTGGGTTGTGATGATGACAAGAGAAGGAGCAGGACGATCGGGAGCACGACGACTATTCCTGCTGCGCTTGTCATCGTCTGGTCGCGAGGAGAGAGACTAAACGTCCACGCGGTCGCGAGGAGAGAGACTAAACGTCCACGCGGCGCTGCGACCCGAACTTCGGATAAAAGATGTGGGCGGATTCCGAAACGGTGGCTGGCTGATCGACGCGCTGAGTTCAAGTTGTAAGCAAAGAGTCAGAGAGCAGAAGAAGGCACTATGCGGAGTAAGTTACTCGGAAGTGGAATTCAATGATGCAGCTTGTTGGGAGCAGCCACATTAAATACTTCGAAGTTCGGCGCCTGTTCGCTCCGCGATTGGCGGGGCTGCCTAAGCTGTATGCTGGGGGCAGGGCAGGAGGCTGTGTGCCACACGATCCAAACCTGCGTGCCACACGGATCATAGCTGCGTGTTTGGAGGCGCGCCAAAGCCATTCCTGGAAGGAACGCGGCTGGTCGGTCGGTTCCGAGGAATTGGGGGACGCAGTGACGGCGTAGAATTCGCTTGGTGGACAAGTCTGTCGGGTCGGATCACAGGTTCACAGCTCAGAGGACGCGAGTTATTCGGTGTGAGCGGGGGGAAAAGGGGAAAATGAAGGTATTCGGCAGGTCTTTGACTCCCGGGCATGGCACATGATCCCAGCGTTCGGTTGGGAGAAGCTTCCCGTTTAGCGTGTGAGAAGTACCGCAAAACATCTACAGAAAACTTTCAAGCTTCTTACGAAATGAGATGCGAGGCTGTTGAGCTTATACCGGGTTCCGAACCACATTCCCTGGTCCGAACTTTCCCGGTCCGAACCATATTTTCTCAGAACCAGCGAACCAGAAACGGCAACCCACGCATACGCGCTAATAGAGTTAGCGACTAGAACAGAATACCAGTACATCTGGAAACGTAAAGTGTACTCGTGAGGTGTGGGCGAATTCGCAAACTGCTTCGGTTCCGATCGGTGAATATCGGTTCCCGACGTGGGTACAACCAACACAACTTCCAACACCACGTGGGAACCTCACCTCGACCTCATTCGACAGCACAGCTAATTCACCTCTGCCTACAGCTGAGGCGGCTGAGCTGACGTGTCGCGCCTCCCGTGATCCACGCCGCCCGCATTGTCGAATCCACCTTGCCTTCAGCTTCGTTCCGCGCGCCGTCATTCCCGCCGCCATGTCCGCTCTCTGCTCCCCTCTCGCGCGACTATTCTCCCGCTCCTCATTCGCAGCTTATCGTAGTGCCCGCCGCGGCAGCATCCAAGCCCAATCACTCGACGCCACAATCCCCTGCGCGCCCTCGCTTTTGCGCCGCTCCAATTTAACCGCGCGCGCAGCACCCCCCTCAGCGGACTCTTCTCCCCGGGCTTGGAGCCACCTGGTGGCGCGTCTTCCGCGGCTGCAAAGCGCGCCGAGCCTTTCTTCAGCGCATCCGCGCAGGGAGGCGTCGGGCGTGGCGGTAGCGCGCGTGAGCTCTGCGGAGGAAAATGCGCCGCAGGAGCAGGCGGAGCGTGAGGCGGAGGTCGCGGGGAAGAGAGTGCGGCTCGGATTCATAGGTGCGAGCCAACTGTGCCCCGTGTCTTCTTCCGCCTCCTTGCCTCCTTTCAAAGCTCTGCCCCCTTTTTCCCCCACTCTGCGCCTCCCCCCCTGTGTGCTCCTTCCCCCACGCCTCCCCCTTCGCCCTCCCCAGGTAGGGGGCAGGTAGCCGCGTTCTGGGCCGCGTCCTCTGCGCTCCCCACCTCCCCCCACGCCCCCTCCCCCCAACCCCGCCCAACCACCCCCCTTCACTTCCCCCCCCCCCCCCCCCCCCCCCCCCTCCGCCTTTTTCCCCCCAACACAAAAGGCGCGGGGCAGATGGCGGAGGCGGTGGCGCGGGGGCTGAGCGCGGCTGGCGTGGTGGAGTATGCTGACATGGCGGCTGCTGACGTCAGCAGCGACAGGCTGGCGGTGTTTCAGGGGATCGGCATCGACACCAAGGAGAGCGCCAAGGAGGCAAGTGGCATGGCGGGGAATGGGGAGGTAGATGGCATGGGGTGAGGGGGGAAATTGGGTGGGGGGAGCTCATCAGCAAAAGCATCCCCAACCGCCCTTTCCTCCCCTTTCCTCCCCTTTCCTCCCCTTTCCTCCCCTTTCCCCCGCACCCCCCACACCTCCTTTCCCATTCCTCCCCTTTCCCCCGCACCCCGCCCTTTCCCCCCCTTTCCTCCCCTTTACCGCGCACCCCCCACACCTCTCAAGCAGGTGGCAGCCAGCAGTGACGTCATCTTCATTGCAGTGAAGCCGTTCGCCGTACAGCCCGTGCTTGCTGACCTGGCAGCCTCGGGCGCGCTGACGGAGCGCCACCTCATCGTGTCGATCGCCGCGGGCGTGCCACTTGGCAAGATGCAGCAGTGGGTGGGGGAGGATGTGCGGATTGTCAGAGTCATGCCCAACACACCGTGCCTTGTCGGTGCCACTGCTGCTGGTAAGCGACGCGACGGTAGGCTTAAGCGAGCCTCCCTGTCAAAGCAAGATGCACCAGGGGGGGGGGGAGGGAGGGGGGGTGGGGGGGAGATGTGCGGATAGTGCGGGTCATGCCCAACACACCCTGTCTTGTTGGTGCCACCGCTGCTGGTAAGAGAGTGAAGGGTGCATATAGCAAGGTGCTTGTACACCCATCTCTTGTGGGTGGATGCCTATAGCAGGATGCAGCAGTGGGTGGGGGGGGGAATGTGCGTGTCACGCCCAACCCACCGTGCCGTGTCGGCGCCGCTGCTGCTGGCAAGTTGCTGGGTCGTGCCTGCATGATCTGCCTTTCCGCACTCACCTCTCTTTTCCTCCCCGTCCCAACCATCCAGCCATGAGTCTGGGAGCGCGGGCAACAGAGGAGGACGGGGCGTTGGTGAAGGCCATGTTTGGAGCCGTGGGGGAGGTGTACGAGGTGGAGGAACGGCTCCTGGACGCCGTTACTGGACTCAGGTGATCTCAACAGAGGATCAGGCGATTGCAACAGTAGCTCAGGTGCATTGAATCGGCCTGCGCATGTTCCCTGCAGAATCTCAGATGTTCTGCAACATCCATCCAAGAGTCTGCACATGTTTGCTACATGTTTGCCGACTTGAATCCATCGCCCTCGTGCTTTTGAGTCGACTCAAAAGCGATTTGTCGCCTTTAACCCCCCTCGTGTCTCTAAATGTTTTCTCCTCCTCATCCTCCTCATCCTCCTCATCCTCCTCATCCTCCTCATCCTCCTCATCCTCCTCTCCTCCTCTCCTCGTACATACTTCCACCATTCCTCCTCCTGTCCCTTCGCAGTGCCAGCTGCCCAGCCTACATATTCACGGCAATTGAGACTCTGGCAGGTGGTGGTGACGAATCATCCTCCCCCCACTCACGCTTTCCTGTCCCCTGTCCTTCACGTCACCCGTCCTCATCAACCCCCCCCCCCCCCTCTTCCTCACAGTGGTAGCGGCCCGGCCTACGTGTTTGTGGCGATCGAGGCTCTGGCAGACGGTGGTACGGCTGCTGGGCTTCCCAGGAAGGTGGCTCTGTCGCTCGCTGCACAGACGGTGAGTGGGGAGGCCCGTGCCCTGTAGAGGATAGGTATGGCTTAAGGAAGCAGCACTCAGCAGATGCCATGTTGCTCAGTCCACACAGCAAACGGTGGTACGGCCGATGGGCTTCCCAGTAAGGTGGCTCTGTCGCTCGCTGCACAGACGGTGAGTGGGGAGGCCCGTGCAATGACTTAATCGAGATGGCAGTGGCTGTCGCAATGGAAATGGCAGTGGCAGGTTTAGTTTGAGGCGCCTCAAAACTATGCTTTTTTGTCAAGCATTGCCAACAACTCTCCCCCTGGCAGGTGTATGGCGCAGCCAAGATGGTGATCGACACACAGAAGCACCCAGGGCAACTAAAAGACTCCGTCGCATCACCAGCAGGTATGCTGACGAGCGCCATTGGGCTGCTACTCATACCTATGCAGTTTCTGTACCACTGGCCAGCAGCTGCTCACTGGTTGGACTGCTCTGCTAGGCTGCTGTGAGTCGACTCAAAAGTCTCGACGGGCACGTGGTGGGCTGCTGCACATACCTGTGCAGTGTCTGTACCACTGGCCAGCAATTGCTCACTGGTTAGTCTACTCTGCTAGGCTGCTGTGCTCCCGCATGCGTCTGACACCTCAACGGAATATCTCACCCCGTGCCTTACCCATGTGTTCCCTTCACTGTGTTGCCACCAGCATTGCCGGCCTGCATGAGCTGGAGAAAGGCGGATTCCTTCCGATCCCTGCTTGTGAATTCTATGCTGCCTTGTGCTCTGCCCTGCTCTACTCCGACATTGCTCAGTGCCCTACCGCCGTACCCCCCTTGACATCTGTGCAGGCACCACCATCGCCGGCCTGCATGAGCTGGAGAAGGGCGGGTTCCGGTCGCTGTTAATGAATGCTGTGATCGCAGCGGCCAATAGGAGTAAGGAGATGTCCAAATGAACATCAGAAGTGTCTAAATGAGGCGCCTCAATGTGTGGTTTGCAGTGCAGTAATTACTCATGAAAAACTGTTGCTGCAGTAGCCAAAAAATGACCTTTGAGCTGATTAAGTGAATAATCGTGACGTTCTGTTACCGGTATGAGGGTGAAAGAATTCGAAAGGTGGTGCAGGAGACTAGGTATAGAATCTGCAGACACAAGTATTTGAAGAAGTAGAAAGTCTCAAAACTGAATAATGATTAGAATAGGAGAGTACAAGGTAATATAAGCTAGGGAGTTGTACCCTCTAAGGCACAAACCTGCATAGTCTACAATAACATACTAAGATAAGTTTGACACACCCCCTAGACTACATAGGGCAGTGCCTAACATGAGAACAAGCAGCTCAGGGCGGCACTACTAGTCCAGCCTCTGATGCAAGGGTCTAAAGACCAGTCAATAGGAGTACAGACAAAACAGGAGCAAGACCAGGGCGGCACTACTAATCCAACCACTGGGAGAAGCCACAAGGCCAGTCTGGGTAATACATATATATAATGTCTGTACGCAGTCAAGGTCCTAGCAAGTGCGAGGCAACAGGAACAAGACCAAGCTGTAAGCAGTGCCGCTGATGTTCTTTAGTCGCAAGCGCCTTCGTAAAGATATCAGCTGTGTTGGCACCTGAGGCCAAGTGTACTACACGAGCCTGGCGACGCCGCCGTAGCTCGCGCAGGAGGAAGTACCGCAGTTGGATGTGCTTCGCTCTGCCCTCAAGTCAAGGCTCCTGACACAAGAGGACCATGGCCCTGTTGTCAGCGTACAGGACCGGGGCAGAGCTAGGCCGCTCACCTAAGTCAGTGAGCAAGAGGGTAAGCCAGCGGAGCTCCTGTGCCGCCATGGCACCGGCGTAGATCTCGGCCTCACAGCTGGACTGGGCAACAGACGAAGAGCGAGTAGCTCTCCACGAGACAGCACTTGAGCCAAGACTGAAGCAGTAACCCTGTGAGGACCTAAGGGTCTCGGCGTCGTCTGCCCAAGAAGCGTCTGTGTGCCCAGTAAGGACCACTTGCCTGCGTCCTCGCAGCACTAACCCCAAGCCTGATGTACTCGCGAGATAACGCAAAACCCTCTTAGCTGCAGACCAGTGCTGAGGTCTGTGTCTGCCTGTGGCCACAAAGCGAGCCAGGATGCTGAGAGGGTATGCGAGATCTGGACGAGTGCAAGTCATCAGGTACATGAGGCAACCCACCGGCTCTGCGTAAGGACCACCGGGATCTGCTGACTCCTCAGGGACTGGAGCAAAGAGCCTGTGATCTACTGGAAGAGGTGTGGGCAGTGCGGAGGAGAACTGAAGACCGAACCTCTGAAGGACCTGGCGCACCAAGTGTGACAGGGTGAGAGTGATGGTGCACGCTACTCTGTCTCTGGAGATGTGCAGGCCCAGGTAGTGGCGCAGCTCTCCTAGGTCAGTGCAGGTGTGTCTCCTCAGCAGCTCAGCCTTCACAAAGGCCAGCCCGGTCTGCAGTGGCAAAGACGAGATTGTCTACGTAAACAAGGATGTAGAACGGAGTCTGGCCAGAACGAACGAAGAGCGAGGGGTGTGCGGAGGACAGAAAGAACTGCAGGTCTGCAAGGGTAGCACGCAGCGTGTCATGCCACTCGCGGGGCGCCTGGCGCAAGCCGTAGACTGGGCGCCGCAGGAGCCACTGAGTCTCAGGAGGGAAGGTACCAGTGAAACCCTGAGGTCGGCGCAGGTAGACCTGCTCGTGTAGTCTGCCCTGAAGAAACGCAGCAAAGTTGTCGAGGGAGTGTAACTCGTAGTCACGCTCTGCTGCTACGTGTAGCAGTGCGCGAAAGTAGTCATCTTCGGTGTCGGGGCGAAAGTCTGAAAGAAGTCCACCCCCTCACGCTGACTAATGCCTCTAGTTACGTAGCGCGCCTTGAACACAGGCGACTCTCCAGGAGGGCGCTTCACCTTGAAGAGCCAGCGGCCATCGACTACGTTCACCCCAGGTGGGGGAACTGCGTCGACGTAGGTGCCGGTGGATCTCCAAGATGCCATCTCCTGCTCCATGGCAGCTATCGACTGCGAGGCCCATGGTCCCGAAACCGCCTTAGCGTAAGTGCGAGGGGTCGGGATGTCGAAAGCGTCTGGGTCACCCTTAGGGACTACCTCCGGAACACTCCAATCCAGCACCCCTAGAAGGAACACCCCCTGAGCCCGAAAACCCTCGAGCACCGGTACCACCCCCAGGCCCGTGGGGACAAGCCATGACAGGAACCCCAGGACTAGTACACACCCCAACGCGAGTCAACGAACTGTTGCTGTGACGGCTACGGCGATGGCTGTGGCGACTACTGCGGCGGCGGCGACTACAACGACGGTTGCGGCGGCGGCGGCGGCTGCAACGACGGCTGCTGCGGCGGCGGCGGCGGTGACGGCGGCTGCGACTGCGGTGACGATGGCGGCTGCGGAGGCGGCGGAAGAGGAGACACCTGGGGAGGGGCAGGCGGCGAGGACTGCGCCGCAGGACCACCAGATTTAGCAGACTCCTACAGGGACAACCGACGTGAAGGGGGTGACGTGGGGCACACCAGATGGTGCAGGACGGGGAGGGGGAAGGGGAGAGATAGGGGCCACCCGGGAAGGGGGGACCAGGAATTGGGGCGGAGTAACCGGGGGACCTCGGTGGGGGAAGCGGCGGTAGAAGGAGACGGACTCGTCAAAGGTGACATCGCGGGTGTGAAAGAACTGGTGAGACTGCGGGTGGTAGAAGTGCCAGTCGGACGAGTCAAGGGGTAAACCGAGGAAGACGCAGGGGAGGGTGCGGACAGTGAGCTTGTCCGGGCACGAACGTGAGCAAGGCAGCCCCAGACGTGGAACGCAGACGCGTTACCAGGAGACCCGGACCAAAGAAGTGTCGGCGAAACCTGCGGCTGCTGGGAGTGCGGTCATAGGTTAAGCTCGTGAGCGACGTAGCGAATGGCGAACAACCACAGAAAATAGGATGCACCGGCATAGATCATGGAGGTACGAGCCACCTCCATGACCAAACCGATGCGACGCTCAGCGACCCCATTCTGCTGCAGGGAGTCCGGCTAGGTGAACATCTTGGTGATGCCCTCCGCACGACAGAAACGACCAAGAACGCCGGAGGCAAACTTGCGCCACGGTCGGAGTGGAGACGCAAGACAGGGAGACCGCGGTGGACACGCGCAGAGACAAGCCACGGGATGAGAACGTCAGGCACGTCGGCCTTCCGCTCCAGGGGAAACACCGTGGTGTAGCGCGTGTAGTCGTCGACAAGCACTAGGAAGTAGCGCTCTCGATGCGGCCCATGGACGGGGGCGGGGCCCTAGACGTCCATGTGCAAAGTCTGTAGTGGTGCGGCGGTAGGGGGGAACGAGGAGGAGTGAGGGGCACGGTGGAGCCGGCCCTCGACACAGGGCGTGCACGGTGGGGCTGGGGAGGAGGGCAACTCGGGGAACAACCCTGGGAGACCTAGGACGAGATCGTGCTGTGACATGTGACGCAGACGCGGGAGTGCAGGGTGACCTAGACGGTGGTGCCACAGGAGTGTCGGGTGAGTGAGCGACCGACAGGAGCAGGTAGCAGCAACCTGGGTAGACGCAGCCACCTAAGGGGACGTCCCAACCGGGGGGGTCGCGGTGTCCAGTGTGAACAGTCCGTACACCGGGTCCCCAGGGAATGTGGTGAGGGGAGCACCAGTGGCGGCCTCGGTACAGACAGCGTACCGCTCGTGACTAGGGAACGTAGTGGTGACGCCAAGGTCCTTGAGGCAGCCAACACCAACTAGGTTCCTTGAGAACGAGGGGATATGCAGGCCTGTAAGAGAGCCTGAAGGAACCGCCAGACAGGGAAGGGTGGTGGAGCTGCGGGCGACTACCGGGCCGGAGGAGGGGTCAGCAAGAGAAACTGCAGCAGGAGCCGCTATCGCACTGCCATCACTGCTGCTTAGCTCACTACGCTTCCCCCCCCTTCTGCATGACGCTCAATTTTATCGCCATGCGCCTGTCGGACCGCCTAGCTAGTGCTCGCGACCAATTTCCTTAGCCAGCACCCAGGTGACCTCACTCTGACCGCCTTTGTAGACACCCTCACCGAGATCGAGACTTGCCAGTGCACTATCGCTCAGTCGAGCGGTGCGCCAGCAGTCTCTATCTTTCACGGCTGTGCCCCCTCCCAGTGCACGTTTACAGACGTTTCGGCTGCGGTCGCCACTGCGACCCCTCTTACCGAGACGACTGCTGTGGTCCACCCGCAGCAACGCCCACGCCGCGTTGGCCGTGGCCTTCAGGGAGGTCGTGGTGGTGGCGCTGGTGGTGGTGGTGGTGGTGGTGGCGACGGTAGTCCCCTTAAGGGGACTATCACCGGTGGGAAGGGGCAGTCGCAGTCGCCTTCGCAGCAGGAGCAGCCCCCGCAGCAGCCGCCGCCATCCCAGCAGCAGCCGCCGCAGCCGTGGGCTCGTCTCCCGCCTGGTTGGACCGGCACCTCCGCAGGTGGTGGCCGTGGTGGTGGCCCGCGCAGCTTGGCGTCTACTGGCAGCTCCAATGCTGTGACCTGCCAGTACCAGCTTCAGACCGGGCCTCTCCACGGCACTCTGTGCCGCCGCCCGCACCCGACCGCCCGCTGTTTCCGCCGCCTCGACGATCTCTTTCGTCGTCGCTTTGGCCCGACCCCGGACCTCCCCGACTGGCACAGTCTGCTCCGCCAGGGCGTGCTGATCTTTGAGTTAGACATGGATCAGATAGGTGCTGCTTTGCATGCTTTGTATTCTGACGCTTCTCGTGTTGCTGGATCTTATTACCCTGTGTACTCTAGTTTAGGTGTTGCACCATTGTGTAGCTTAGCCTCCCCTTCTGCGTCAGGCATAGGACTGCCTAGCTTGCCTAGTCTAGTCGCTGCACCGGCTCCGTCCTCGGCCTCCGCCACTGCTTCGCTGTCCTTCACTCTCGACTCCGGTGCTTCTGCCTGCTTCTTCCGTGACCGTTCCACGCTCACGCCGCTTGCTGCGCCTGCTGTTGTCTCTCTCGCTGACCCCTCTGCGGGTCCTGTCGTCGCTCGCAGCTCGACGTCCCTTCCCTGTCTAGCAGTTCCCTCGGGCTCCCTTACAGGCCTCCACGTTCCCTCGTTCTCGAGGA